TGTGTCTATGGTTCTGATGACGACAACGGACGGGGTTCACGTGTGCAGCCCATGTTGTCGAACGGCTCCGACAACACACGAGCAGAAAGTTGCTCCTTGTTTCTCAGCAAGAAGACAAGAAGCAGCCCCCCCCCCCCTCCTCCCAGCGTTAGTCAGTCTGTGTGTGTTAAATGGAATCAACATTCCACGGATGGACTCGTCTTCATCAAAGAACTCCGAGGACTGCTCTGTGTTTGTTACAGCTGGTAAGTTTACGTTTGTTAACATTACTGCAGCTTAACACGTACATCGCGGTGAATTAAACTAGAATCCTTGTAACACTAACTTTAACATATTAGTGTGTAAATTTATTTTATCTACGTAGCTAGCTAAACTCAGAAGCTAACTAAAGATCGACAGTAACAGATGAAGCTCGAATTGTAAAAATGTGCTCATCCATCAGAGCAGCTGGTTAAAAAGTTCACTAATGTTCAGTGTTTATCCTGATGCATGCTCAGTAATCGAGGTAGAAAAATCCAAAAAAGTTAATTCTGGTCCTCTGGACATTCAAAAAACAAAAAGCAAAACAACAAAAAATATAGAAACGTTTCGTCACTCATCCGAGAGACTTCCTCAGTCTGAGGTGCTGTATTCAGCTCAGTCTCTTAAATAGCACCTTCTCAGAGTGGATCAACCAGTTTGCTGCTGACAACCAGAACCAGCTGATCACATGCTCAAGAAGGACCATCAGCCTAACAATGGATCATTAGCACCTGATGGCTGTTTACTGTTCACAGAGGGCTGAGTGATACTAGCAATCACAGCATTGTAAGAGGGGGACAGTTGAACCAGGAGGCCTCCACCCCTGTTTAATGATGGACGGTTTCTTTTCACAAAGATGGCCTCCTTTACTCCTCTCTCAAACCATCGTTCCTCTATAAACATATTAATCTCTAAAACTAAACTTAATGCACAACACAGCTGGCGGTGGTGCGGGGTGGTCGACACCCCCACTGTTTTTAGTTTTGTTTTTGACGTGCTGCATGTTTCTTTCACTTTTGCAGTTTAATAATAAAAACTAATAGTTTAGTTTTTCCTGTGACTTATTTGCAGTTTGATAAATGGTAGGAGCATAATATAGTCTCCCTATGTTTTGTTGGTCTTTTTTTTGTAAATAATAAATGACTTTTTTTGTGGTTTTATTTTTTATTTATTTTTGCATCTTGAGATCCTATGACATCATCAACTACTCTAGTTCTACTTGAGTTTTATTATGTTAATGTCGAGTTTAAAAATTATCTAGTCGTTCAACCCCTAGAACAGACCACCCAGCACCAGACTCGCCTCACCACTGGATGAAGAGCATCTCAGCGTGACCTCAGCCGAAGTAAGGAGTACCTTCAGGAGGATTAATCCGCACAAGGCAACCGGCTCAGACAACATCCCCGGAAAAGTGTTGAAGGAATGTGCTGATCAGCTCTGTGAGGTGCTGGCAGACATCTTTAACACCTCACTTACCCTGGAGACAGTTCCCACCTGCCTGAAGACTGCCACCATCATCCCAGTCCCAAAAAGCTCTACAGTGACTGGTCTGAATGACTATCGGCCAGTGGCCCTCACCCCAATAGTCGCTAAATGCTTCGAAAAACTGGTCATGACTCACATCAAAACAACCATCAACATCAATGAGGACCCTCATCAGTACGCATACCGTGAGAACCGATCAACAGAGGACACCATCTCCTCTGTGGTCCACACTGCACTCAACCACCTGGAGCAGAAAAACTCTTACGTCCGTATGCTCTTTGTGGACTTCACATCCGCCTTCAACACCATGATCCCCCAGACCCTGATGGACAAACTATCCACACTAGGACTAAGCCCCTCCATCTGCAACTGGGTACTATACTTTTTAACAAACAGACCACAGTCAGTGAGGATCCACAACCTCTCCTCCTCCACCATAACCCTCAGCACTGGCTCTCCTCAGGGATGTGTGTTGAGCCCCCTCCTGTTTACTCTGCTCATGTATGATTGTACAGCTACCCATCCAGGCTGTCACATTGTAAAGTTTGCAGACGATACAGCGGTGGTGGGATGCATCACAAACAATGATGAGTCCAGCTACAGGCAAGAGGTGGAACACCTGGAGAGCTGGTGCAAAGAGAATAACCTTCACATCAATGTGAAGAAGACAAAGGAGATGATTGTGGACTTCAGAAGGAACAAAAACATCTACACCCCCCTGAACATAAGAGGATCTGTGGTGGAAGTGGTCTCCAGCTACAAGTACTTGGGTGTACACATGAATGACAACCTCAGCTGGAGCAACAACACCACCAGCCTGATGAAGAAAGCTCATCAGAGACTCTACTTCCTCAGACAGCTGAGGCGAGCTGGTCTGGGAAGCTCAGTCCTCACCTCCTTCTACAGGTGTGCAGTGGAGAGCATCCTGTGCTCCAGCATCAACGTGTGGCATGGAGGCTGCACAGCTGCAGAAAGAAAAGCTTTGCAGAGAGTGGTGAAGGCTGCACAGAAGATGTTAATAATAATAATAATAATAATAATAATCATTTTATTTAAAAAGTGCCTTTCATGACACCCAAGGACACTTTACAGTAAGAACAAAGATCAACAGGAATAAATTACATAAAGAATATAAAATACATAAAGAATATAAAATACATACAGAATATAAAATGCGTAAAGAATATAAAATACATACAGCAAAGTTAAGGATAAGCGAGTCTAAAGAGATGTGTTTTCAGAGCAGTCTTGAATATCGAAAGAGAGGTGGTGTTTCTTAAGTCAGGGGGTAGAGAGTTCCAGAGATGAGGGGCAGAGCAGGTGAAGGTCCTGCTCCCCATGGTGGAGAGGCGGGCAGAGGGTACATGGAGGTGTAGTGAAGAGGAGGATCTGAGAGAGCGAGAGGGGATGGAGATGTGTAGGAGGTCAGATAGGTACGGAGGGGCAAGGTTGTGGATAGCTTTGAAAGTGAGAAGAAGAATTTTGAAGACGATGCGTGATTTAACCGGGAGCCAGTGGAGCTGCTGCAGGACAGGAGTGATGTGGTTATAGGAGGAGGTTTGAGTTATGACACGGGCAGCTGAGTTCTGGACCAATTGTAGCTTCTGGAGAGATCTGTTGGGGAGGCCATAAAGAAGGGAGTTGCAGTAGTCAATCCGAGAAGTCACAAGACTGTGAACAAGAATGGCTGTGGAGCGGGGTGTGAGAGAAGGGTGGAGACGGTTAATATTTCTGAGATGGAAATAGGCAGACCGAGTGACATTGTTGATGTGTGAAGTGAAGGAGAGAGTGGTGTCGAGGATGACACCAAGACTCTTGACCTCAGGCGAGGGGGATAGCAGAGAGTTGTTAAGGGGGATGAGAAGATGTTCTGATTTTGAAAGAGAGTTTTTGGTACCGACAAGAATGATTTCTGTTTTGTTACTGTTTAGTTGTAGGAAGTTGTTAGAAAACCAGTGATTTAGCTCATTGAGACAGTCGGTGAGGATGGAGGGTGGGTGGAGTTTGGTTTTGTTGATAGGTAGAGCTGTGTGTCATCAGCATAACAGTGAAAAGGGACACCAAATTTACGGAAGATGTGACCTAGAGGAAGGAGGTAAATGATGAAGAAGAGGGGTCCGAGGACAGAGCCTTGGGGGACACCCGTGGAGATGGGGGAAGACTGGGAACGAAAGGATTTGAGCTGAATGAATTGAGTGCGTTCAGAGAGATATGATTTGAACCAGTCTAACGGAGTACCCGAGATGCCAATGGAATCTGTTGAGGAGGATAGAATGACAGATTGTGTCGAAGGCAGAACTTAGAGCCAGTAAAATGAGGATAGACAGAAGAGCAGAGTCAGCAGCAAGAAGAAGGTCATTAGTTGGAATCAGCCTCCCCACCATCACAGACATCTACACCTCCAGATGCAGGAAGAGGACCACCTGCATCATGAAGGACCCCACTCACCCAGCACACACACTTTTTGCCCCGCTCCCCTCAGGAAGGAGGTTGAGGAGCATTAAGTGTAGAACCACTAGACTGAGGAACAGCATCTACCCTGAGGCTGTTAGACTCATGAATCTCTAACTAGAATAATCACTGTGAAAAACCATATCATGTTGCTGCTGATCTGTTTCATGTTGCTGCTGATCTGTTTCATGTTGATGTGTTCATGCTGCACATCTGCTCACAGACTCATGCTCATGTTCGTGCTGCTGTTTAACGTATTGTTTTTATACTATTAGTGCTTAGTGTATATTTAGTTGATGTTTTTCTTAGTTCATATCTTAGATGTTATTACTGTTTTTCTTTTACATTTTATTGTTGGATGTAACTGGGACCCTGTGGACATAATGTTGCTCCTCCACATGTACCACATGAGAGGTGAATGATAATAAAGAATCTCTGACTCTGAATTATTTGTCTGTGATGGACTGGAGACGTGTCCAGGTGTCCCCCGCCTCTCGCATAATGATGGCTGGATGTGGGCACCAGTAACCCCAGTGACTCGAAAAGGATAAAGTTGGTAAAGATGATGGATGAATTATTTGTTTCTAGATTTTTTTATTTTATTTTAGAAAATACAGGCAGCTAACATATTAGTGGTAATGTAAGTTACAGAATTTTATGCACTCCTATATTTGTTCGTATTTTTGATATAAATATAAAATGATGCAAAAAGATTTGATAAAGTAAATAACCTAAAATTATTGTTTTAAATAAATGTTCTATTTGTTTACATTGTAATCTTTTCATCTTATCAATTACATATTTTAAACAGTTTATGACCATTTCAATAGAAAAATTGTTTCCGAATCGGAATCGCAACACCAAAAATCGGAATTCAATCGAATCGCCAGACACAGAGAGATTTGCACCCCTATACAATAACAACAAGTCAAAACCTAATTCTCAGCACCATGTCTAAATCTGTCTGGTCTTACGGTGGAAAAATATATTTGCTGTAGACATCAGTTTAATAAACTTTACTGTAGAAAATATGAGTAGATTACCAGATCTGGTTTTGGGCAGTCCTGGTGCACTCTGGATGTAATCTGGTGTAGCAATGGCTCCAATCTTCTCTCTCACTGAGTGAAGCATAAAAAACACAACAGACTGAAACTTTAACAAGGAACATCTTTATCAGTCACCTGAAATGAAAAACTAGATTCAGTGATTAAAGAGTTTTCATTGAACAGCTTTATTTGTTGTGTTATAGCTACCTGTAATAAATTACAGGTAGCTATAAACTTCCCACCCAACTAAGATACGATGAAACAGTGAGACCCGTTTAGTAAATATTGGAACCAGAACCCATTTTATGCTTACTAACCTTGTTGTTTCAGTTCTGCCTCCAGTGTTTGGTTGTATATCACTCCATCATTTAACGTTACGAAGCAGTAGAGGCTTTCTCCTTTGACAGGATGTGGTCTGCTCACCACAGCAGCTTCAGCAACAGCCTTGTGCTCCACTAAAGCCGACTCCACCTCTGCTGTACTCAACAGGTGACCTGCAGGTAGGCCATGGACAGAGGAAAAACAGGTGTTACAAGATCCTAAAAAACACACTCATTCACCTCGGGATGTATTGATCTGAGATGTATTTGAATATTTTTTTATTTAATAAAAAGAGCCTTGCAATATGAATTACTCACTCAATAAACTTCTCTATAAAACAGTTGATTGTTCCAACACATTAGAATACAGCTAAAATTACCCCCGTTTTTAAGGTAGAAAAACATCGACAAATTAGAGTTTTACCTTCAGTTTTCAAGATTCTTGAGAACTGGGTCTCCAAGTAATCATTAGAACATCTTTATGTAAGTGCTACACCTCTCCACCCAAAGGAGTTTGGTTTCTGCTAACATTATTAAACTAAAACAGCCATTTATTTTTTATTTGAGAATATGAATAGCTTACTGGTCAATTAAGGTTTCATTGGAGCTGTAATTTTTATTTAAAATGTGATGTACTGTTGCTAAAACTCTCTCATTTTATCTAAAATAGTTCAATCTGGTCCTCTGGACATAAAAAAAAACAAAACAAACAAAAAAAAACAAAGAAAAGAAAAAAAGTAGAAACGTTTCATCTTTCATCCGAGAGACTTCCTCAGTCATGGACATACAGCCCGACAGAGGCTCTGTCGGGCTGTCTCTGTGCGCCTGTTTATGTCTCGGGTTGGGTTTTAGGTTGTCCCCTCTCTTGGATCAATTTGGGCCCCCCATTTAATGTGGGGTCTACTTCCCCCTGTCATGCTCCCCTCCGGTGGTGGGCCCCCCTGATGCAGGTGCATTGGTGGCTCTCAGTATCTGGGGCTGGGTGGTGGGGTGTGTGCGGGCCCACCCTGGTGGCTGCCTGCTGGGGCCTGGGTGCCCTGGCTCTGTCGGGCCTCTGTTGGGGGGTGGTATGACCTCGGGACTCGGTGTCCATGGCCAGATCTACTCTGGAGGGGCGGGGTGCCGGCGGGGCCTGTGGACTCGTCGCTGCAGCCTCCTGGGGGTTTCTGCATTGTGGTTGCTGGGGGTCGCCCAGGGCTTCCCTCTGCTTCTCTCTCTGGGGGGTGCGGTTGTCCCTGTTGGGGGACTCCCGGAGCTCCAGGGTTGGGGACTGCTGTGTGGCTCCGGTCTTCCCTGTGTTACCACCGTGTCCTGTTGGGACGGGTCTGTGGGTCCCCACATCCACTATTGAACATTTTCATGGAGAAACCTTATAGTGACAAGCATGACAACACAGACTCAAGGTAGATGTCATTAAGTTCTGCCTGTCCCCAAAACAACTGTGTGTTTATCGAAATTTGGTTCCCTTGGCTGGTCTTGAAGGCCATCTTATCTGAATACGTCTGGAGAAAATGTGATTTGACGCTCACCACCCCATCCCTGAGGAATTTCCAACTGATAACCAGATGAACCAGCTAAATAAACTTTGAGTCATCATTTCAGGACTCTTGGATTCTCAGACGTTTTTCTTGGCCATTCCTCTAGAGTGTTTATGGATCTCACCGAAGGACATTGACTGATTATCTTATCAGAACTCTTACAGTGACCTCGAGAGCATCTATAATCATTGTTGACCGCTCTCGTCTCCGTTTGCAGAATGTCTACGTCACTATGTGCTTGTTTGTGCAAGGTGTTTTTTTAATATTAGAGGTTTTTTCCTAAGGCAAGAAAAAAAAGTCTGATATGAATTTTTTTCGCCTCCAACTCCTACATGTGTCCAGTTAACCACTGTTTTTGTCTGTCCAAACAGGTCTTACTTGTAAATGAGTCTTCGAGGCTCAATGTGATTTATCTGTTTAAATACCATACCATACCACTTTATTTATAAAGCACTTAAAACAGCTACAAGGCCAACAAAAGTGCTGTACAGACAAAACAACAGGTAACATACCAAGCAAAATACAAAATTAGGTAAATCTGAATATAGACATAAAAACGATGCAGATAATGACGACAAACCAGAGTGGAGCATTCAGGATAAAAACGAAGATCATCTGGTGTTGAAAGCTACTGAATAGTAGTGAGTTTTTAAACGGGACTTGAAAACCGCGAGGGAGGGGGCCTGTCTGACAAACAGAGGAAACTCGTTCCAAAGTCTTGGTCCTGCCACAGAGAAGGCCCTGTCACCTCTGCGCTTAAAACGAGTTCCTGGAACTGTAAGGAACAACTGGTCCGCTGACCTCAGGGAACATGGTGGGACATATGGTTGTA